GGCAGGTTCTGTAAATTCTAACAAACTGCGGCAAATTGTAATAACAAGCGCGGTAAATTGTAATAAAATCTCTGATTCTTTCTAATTTCCAAAGAAAGTTGAATTCAAGTGTTTGTTCGACTTCATCATGGTCACATTCCACCACTGGCGTGTTAAAAGAACGAAAAAAGGCAATATTTGGGATTATTTCTATCAGTCGTACTGAGAGGCAGGTTCTGTAAATTCTAACAAACTGCGGCAAATTGTAATAACAAGCGCGGTAAATTGTAATAAACTGCGGCAAATTGTAATAACTGGCGCGGTAAATTGTAATAACTTCTCTGATTCCTTCTAATTTCCAAAGAAAGTCAATTCCAGTGTTTGTTTTGACTTAATGCATGGTCAGATCCATCACTGGGATGATATATGAATGAAAAAAAACCGGAAATATTTTCGGATATTTTCTGTCATTCAAACTGAGAGGCTTGAGCCGTAAATTCTAACAAACTGCGGCAAATTGTAATAACAAGCGCGGTAAATTGTAATAAAATCTCTGATTCTTTCTCATTTCCAAAGAAACTCGAATTCAGGTGTTTGTTCGACTTAATCATGTTGACATTCCACCACTGGCGTGTTAAATGAACGAAAAAAGGCAATATTTGGGATTATTTCTATCAGTCGTACTGAGATGCAGGTTCTGTAAATTCTAACAAACTGCGGCAAATTGTAATAACAAGCGCGGTAAATTGTAATAAACTGCGGCAAATTGTAATAACTGGCGCGGTAAAATGTAATAACATCTCTGATTCCTTCTAATTTCCAAAGAAAGTCGAATTCCAATGTTTGTTCGACTTAATCATGGTCACATTCCACCACTGGCATGTTAAATGAACGAAAAAAGGCAATATTTTGGATTATTTCTATCAGTCGAAGAATAACAAGCGAGATGCAGGTGCTGTAAATTCTAACAAACTGCGGCAAATTGTAATAACAAGCGCGGTAACAAACTGCGGCAATTGTAATAAAAAAAGCGCGGTAAATTGCGGCAAATTGTAATAACTGGCGCGGTAAAATGTAATAACATCTCTGATTCCTTCTAATTTCCAAAGAAAGTCGAATTCCAATGTTTGTTTGACTTCATTATGGTCAGATCCCATCACTGGGATGTTAAATGAATGAAAAAAAACACAAAATATTTTGGGCTATTTCTTCCATCATTCAAACTGAGAGGCGAGAGCCGTAAACTCTAACAAACTGCGGCAAATTGTAATAACAAGCGCGGTAAATTGTAATAAAATCTCTGATTCTTTCTCATTTCCAAAGAAACTCGAATTCAGGTGTTTGTTCGGCTTAATCATGTTGACATTCCACCACTGGCGTGTTAAATGAACGAAAAAAGGCAATATTTTGGGATTATTTCTATCAGTCGTACTGAGATGCAGGTTCTGTAAATTCTAACAAACTGCGGCAAATTGTAATAACAAGCGCGGTAAATTGTAATAAACTGCGGCAAATTGTAATAACTGGCGCGGTAAAATGTAATAACTTCTCTGATTCCTTCTAATTTCCAAAGAAAGTCGAATTCCAATGTTTGTTTGGCTTCATTATGGTCAGATCCCATCACTGGGATGTTATATGAATGAAAAAAACTGAAATATTTTGGGATATTTTCTGTCATTCAAACTGAGAGGCTTGAGCCGTAAATTCTAACAAACTGCGGCAAATTGTAATAACAAGCGCGGTAAATTGTAATAAAATCTCTGATTCTTTCTCATTTCCAAAGAAACTCGAATTCAAGTGTTTGTTCGACTTAATCATGATCACATTCCACCACTGGCGTGTTAAATGAACGAAAAAAAGGCAATATTTGGGATTATTTCTATCAGTCGAAGTGAGATGCAGGTGCTGTAAATTCTAACAAACTGCGGCAAATTGTAATAACAAGCGCGGTAAATTGTAATAAACTGCGGCAAATTGTAATAACTGGCGCGGTAAAATGTAATAACTTCTCTGATTCCTTCTAATTTCCAAAGAAGTCGAATTCCAGTCTTTGTTTGACTCCATTATGGTCAGATCCATCACTGGGATGATATATGAATGAAAAAAAACTGAAATATTTTGGGATATTTTCTGTCATTCAAACTGAGAGGCAGGAGCCGTAAATTCTAACAAACTGCGGCAAATTGTAATAACAAGTGCGGTAAATTGTAGAAGCGGCAAGTTGTAATAACTGGCGCGGTAAAATTCTCTGATTCCTTCTAATTTCCAAAGAAAGTCGAATTCCAGTGTTTGTTCGACTTAATCATGGTCACATTCCACCACTGGCATGTTAAAGAACGAAAAAGGCAATATTTGGGATTATTTCTATCAGTCGTACTGAGAGCGGGTTCTGTAAATTCTAACAAACTGCGGCAAATTGTAATAACAAGCGCGGTAAATTGTAATAAAATCTCTGATTCCTTCTAATTTCCAAAGAAAGTCGAATTCAAGTGTTTGTTCGACTTCATCATGGTCACATTCCACCACTGGCGTGTTAAAAGAACGAAAAAAGGCAATATTTGGGATTATTTCTATCAGTCGTACTGAGAGGCAGGTTCTGTAAATTCTAACAAACTGCGGCAAATTGTAATAACAAGCGCGGTAAATTGTAATAAACTGCGGCAAATTGTAATAACTGGCGCGGTAAATTGTAATAACTTCTCTGATTCCTTCTAATTTCCAAAGAAAGTCGAATTCCAGTGTTTGTTTGGCCTGATTATAGTGAGATCTCATCACTGGGATGTTAAATGAATGAAAACAAATGGAAATATTTTGGGCTATTTCTACTATCATTCAAACTGAGAGGCTTGAGCCGTAAATTCTAACAAACTGCGGCAAATTGTAATAACAAGCGCGGTAAATTGTAATAAAATCTCTGATTCTTTCTCATTTCCAAAGAAACTCGAATTCAAGTGTTTGTTCGACTTAATCATGGTGACATTCCACCACTGGCGTGTTAAATGAACGAAAAAAGGCAATATTTTGGATTATTTCTATCAGTCGTACTGAGAGGCAGGTTCTGTAAATTCTAACAAACTGCGGCAAATTGTAATAACAAGCGCGGTAAATTGTAATAAACTGCGGCAAATTGTAATAACTGGCGCGGTAAAATGTAATAACTTCTCTGATTCCTTCTAATTTCCAAAGAAAGTCGAATTCCAATGTTTGTTTGGCCTGATTATGGTCAGATCTCATCACTGGGATGTTAAATGAATGAAAACAAATGGAAATATTTTGGGCTATTTCTACTATCATTCGAACTGAGAGGCTTGAGCCGTAAATTCTAACAAACTGCGGCAAATTGTAATAACAAGCGCGGTAAGTTGTAATAATAGCTTTTATTCCTTTTAATCCCTAAGTAGTTGGAACTCCAGTCTTTCTTTGATTTTAACATGTCCATTTCCCACCACTATCAATTCAATTGGGAAACAACTGGAATAATCCTTTCTATTTCAGGTTTTAAGTTGAATGATATGTTCAGTGCTTAAGACAGAGGTGAATCGTAATGAAAATTATATGTATTTGCTACGCTACAAGGGAACATACATGAACTTAATAATGTGCGACTAAGGACATTGTGAGCTGACTTCAAAACACTGAATTCATAAATGCACATACATGTATAACGTTTTCAGTGAACTTATTACCAGCGGCCAGCTACTGGAAGAGAACCTTCAAGTATGCTGCCGCAAAGACACTGAATGAATGTTTGAAAAACTGTTCAAACCTACATGACTTCAAACTCATCTCGTTAGACTGTCATATTCAGATGACTAGTGCCTTCATATTCCAATAACAACGTCCAATTCAAGTGATGGACCGCCAATGAAAAATACACCCAAGTCATTTCCTGAAGTCGGACATTCATACTTACATTTGAGGAATTTGTAATGATGACATGTTCATCATGTGTCAACAATAGGACTAGATGAAGCAAACGAATGGTGGCTAAAACTAAAAAATAGTGTGTGTTTTTTCAACATGCCATGTCAATCCAAACACATGTATTTCAATACATGATAGTGGAGTCTTTTGAACACTACCTTTTCCAAAATACGTTCTTTATTGTGTACCACCCACATGGATTTTGTTCTATAAGTAGCCATGCGTTGATCCACCTGACATGACTCACAATTCTTCTGAGTTCTATTGCAACGCCGCTGCTTTTACCATAGGTCATTATTAGTCTACGCACACTTACAATTCTTTGTAGGGTGATATGTGGGCAGTAAATTCGCGGTCTCAAATGGAGAAATGACCTAGTATATGCCTGAAATTGATGTGAAACTTGCAAGAAAGATAATATTGTTTTGCATAGTACTCTGCCAGAAGACTGCTGGGCTATCTGTAAAGATAGCTCAATGATATGAAGCACAACTTCGTTTGGTAAGTCAGCAAATGTAACCTGGTCATCTTGTGAAACGTCATAATCGATTCCTTCCATATGACGATCTTTTCTACGTGAGATTTTCACTTCCTCGTCGCTACTATTTGGAGCTTTGAACGTCTCGTCTTGACATCTCATTTCCACTTCCTTCCGAGTCTAAAAGTTCCTGAACATCACATGGCGAAAGACCTCGTTCTTGTCGTGGTACATTATGCTCTTCATCGTTCATCGTCATGTCAGAGCCTTGTGTTGAATGTTCCATGTCTACAGAACAAGGACCCTGCTCTTCATCGCTTTTTCTTGACCCTTCCTTTGCTTTTCCCTTCCAAGTCAGAATAACTCGGACCATCAAATGGTGAATGACTTTGTAGAGAGTTGTATTCTTCATCGCTGCCGTTGTCATCAGACACTTGTCTTGACTCATCAGTGCCTATAGGTTCCTGCTCAATATTGCGGAGAATGCCCTTGTTCGTCGTCGCTGATGCTTCTTCTGTAAAAGCTGTGTCTTGGTTCTTTCTTTCTGTTTTCTTCCAATTCAGACGAACTTCGATCATCACATGGTGAATGTATTTCTCGGGAGATGAATTCTTCGTCATCACTGCTGTTTACACGATCTTGTCTTGGCATCTGTTGCTTCTGTTACCACTGGCAGCTGATCCTCATGTAGTTGCTGTACGTCTTGTGTTTCATGCAGCTGAAGCGCAACATAGTGTTCGCCTTCTTCTTCAGCAAAATGGCCAAGATTGAGTGTATCGATGGCTACACTGTGCGTGGGAACTATGGTAACAGTAGCATCGATGCCAAGCGATGAGTGTACAATTATGTTGATATTAAACATATCTGAGACTGCTTGTAGTGTTATATGGTCACCGTAGGTACCATCATCTAGCATACCAGATATGTATGTGTCCCATTCTTCACCGGTGTAAAGTTCCAAGGGGAATCCATCTGGCGTGTAGGGATGCTCAACGAGATAACTCACAACCTGCTCTCGAAGTGTTCTAAAGGAGCGGAATATACCAATTTTAGCTAAAAGGTGACACAAGGCTGCAAACTGACAGTTGCCGTTTCCTGGGGGATCATAAACGATGTGACCTTGAGATGCAAATGGTCTTTCGGTATCCAACAATGGTATACGATACTTAGATCGGTGATGCCTGCGCTGTGGTCTGGACGACGCCTGTTGCTTTCGTTTTACCTCAGCATCAATTGTGGAACTTGACAACCTATCGACTGACATCCATTCAGACGTGTGCTCCTTTCCTGTTATGGGATTTGTGAATGAAATCATATACATCGATGATTTTAACTTCCGTGCAAAGTACTTTCCCTTTTACAATGTACTGTTTCTTAGGGAGCCAGTTTTCCTTTTTGAACTATATTTGCATAAAACGTCGTCGCCAACGTTGTACACTGACGGGGGGTGTAGTCTTCGTTGTCTCTGCACACTGCGTCTATTTGATTTCTTTGTCGCGACTTTAGCCCGTCTTCTGGTCCGAGTAACATACTTACTTTGCCTCAATCTGTCCTTGGCATTAGGTTGTTGAATATTTTCATCTACAATATCAGTATTGAAGTCACCTGAATCTATTTCTAGAACATTGTTTGATTTTCTTCGAAGTACACTTCAAATGGACTCTGCCAACCTAAACATTCTTTCTTTTCATTATTCATTATTGAGGCATATCTTCGCAAATGTGATGCCCAGTTTACACCCTTAGTGCCCATAGTTACAAAGTCATACATTATTTTCCTTTTTCAGTTGTCTGTGTGATCTTTCCACCTTTCCTTGAGACTGGGGATGATACGGTCTACTGCGTATTGGTTTTGATTTTAAAGGCTTTTACAAAGTTCATTTACATGCCCCTTAAATTCGACACCTTGGTCCATCTGCAGCTTCTTAGGTGGACCATGTTCTTCGTAGATCACGCGCAAAGCAGTGGCTACACCCTGCTCTTCTTTGTTTGCAGCGCCACAAAGCCATGTATACCTACTGAATACATCTACAAGAGACAGGTACAAACTTATATGTTTTCCCTTTCCATCTAACAGCATTTCTGCTGAAATCTACGAGATCAACTTGATGATGTGATTGCACAGACTTTGCTCTCCACTGGTCTGATGATAGCTTTATTTGTAAACTTGGCGGTGTGAATGGAATACTTCTCTTTCGTCCGTAGCTCTCTCTCCGTATTGAGGTCTCTGTAAGTCCTGACATGGAATCAGCTGTCAAATGCCATAACCTTCTGTAGCCTGCTGATTTCTGACTGTGAAATGCATGTTCGACAACCTGAGCAACATCCGTTCGTTTCACAACTGGCTTCCCTCTGAAGTACAGTATATTGTTTGGTTCAGCGCCTATGGAGAGTCCTGTTTCCTTCTCCAGTACCGAAATGCATAATGGCATTTCGTTGACCTCTGGTTCTTTCGGAAACTGGTGTTTGAAAATTACCTTGCACAAGTGAGAGAATAGTATCATACGTTTCCTCGTCAAAAACAATGCGTGTATCCCTTGCCTGCCGCGTTACAGTTCAAAGTCGGGTAGCACAAGAACTGCTACAACGAATGCTCGCATGGTTGGAAATGTACGTCCGCTTATGAACAAAGTCGAGATCAGTCAAATATATATATCCTTCGCCAACAAAATTTGGACTACTTGGGCATCACTGGAAAAAGCAACAACTTATTTGTGAATTTAGACATACATCGATGCAAACGTATAAATGAAGACATATCTTTAAATCTAAGTTTAGATTTTATGGAACAAAGAATATAACTGCGTATGATTATACGGTATCTATGAAGTATTATTTAAGGGGTTAGCTTAAAAGACCGATGTAAACTCTGCGACATTTGTAAAACAATAATTTAACAGTAATAACTTCACATATTATATCATTTACGCAAACAACTTTACACAACAATGAGAAACCAATCCAGTTCAGGTCAATGATGGAAAACGTAAAGCGCGAAGAAAGTAGTTTCCTGGAGAGGGGTCGCTTGTGCATTTGTTGATGCATTAACGCAAGATGCTGCTTTGATGGCCAATGCGTGCAAGAGTCATGGAAGGTATGCTTTGTAAGATGCAAGGTTTTAAATGGAACTTTATCAAGCTTGGTTATGTATGTTTGCATAGCTTTGCGAGATTACAAACTATTATTGTTATTTGAGTGCATGTCGAAGAGAGATCAACATATGTTATATCAATATATTATTATCAAATAATTCGCTGTCAGTCTGTTCATTTCCTGAGGGAATTGTAGAACATGTACGGGGAGAAAGAGCTTAGCACTGTTGATATAGTAATTTTTTTGTAGCATGTTCCCTGCCTACTGATACCTCTCGCCTACACAGGTACTTACTTATGACACAATCAGAATATGAGTATATTCATTGCAATCATGCATTTGGTGTTATTTTACTTCTGCTCACTTCTATGTGACGTGATCACCTCAACTTTCGATATGCCACTGCTGTGGAACAAATGCATATATTCTACAATGTGACCAGGGGTTTTATGGGCGATTCATTAACATATTTAGTCACCAATTGTTATCAAGTACACGATACACTTGCCCCACACGCGAAGTCCTCTAGAAGCATGCAAAGATTTGAGTGAATTTGAGATTGAATGCTGAATTAAGATGTTCGGAAAGTCTGGAATTCATATGTTCGGTAAGTCAGGAATGCAAGTGATTCTACATTTATAATAGTAAATAGATTTACTCCCTCCTGCAAATACGGATGCTGACAGGAATAATAATCATTTGTAATATATAATGAAATTAAGCAAAATACAAAACATGAATAGAAAGAGACGGTGGATAAATAAAGAGAAGAATACGCTCATTAAATAAGACATCAATTATATCAAAGACACAGGCGTATTTTGATCTAGTTTACAGAAAGCGTAAGCTGACAAACATGGCAATGTTGCGAAAGAAGTGGTGCTGTTTTATGCTTGTCTATACCTTTTATGATAAGATGTATAGAGTAGAGACTGAAATAGACTTTTGTCTGTGTGCACGCTCACTGACTGAGTTTGGTTTCACCCCGTTTTTAGCAATATTCCAGCAACATCACGGCGGGGACACCGAAATGGGCTTCGCATTGTACCCATGTGGGGATTCGAACCCGGGTCTTCGGCGTGACGAGCCAACGCTTTAACAACTAGGCTACCCACCGCCCGTCTGTGTGTGCAAACATCGAGGAAGATGGTAAGACAGAAATGAACTTAATGAACGTTAATTCGTAGTTAATAAAGTAACGACACTGTCATTATGGGGTTGGATTCTGTTTGGTGTCGAATGCAACGTTTACTTCTGTATTTTCAGAAACGCAGCAATGCGTAACCACC